CCACCCTGGTATGAGGAGAACACCATCAACATGATGTCCGTTTATATCCGGTGCTTCGTCCTAGCTGTGTACCACGATCTGCTTTCAGGAACCTCCTGCGAGTATGAGGACGTTGCTGATTACATTCAAACATCAGCATTTTGCCAGTGTAAACCATCCTCCTGGGATTCATGTAGTTCTCTTGCTTCTTGCTGTAGACACATAGTGTTTTTTAAGACATTAAATAATGACCTTGACCTCAAAGCTATTTAAATTGAGATCTGATAAAGGAATTAACATCACTCCCTGCCCCCTGTGTCCACCAAAAGAGGAGAGGAAATGTGTGCGTTGTAAAGTCTACGTAATGGATAAACGTTCTTATTTCATTTTGGGTTTGCAGCAGAATCTCAGATAGAAACAAACGTCCCTAAGACTCTCATACAAATCGTCAGATCTTCACCTTGTTAAGCAAACAGAGGTGGCATTTTTAGTTCATTTTGCAAATTGGTGTAAGGTAAAGAGGAGGCATGGTAGCATAAATAAATGCATCATGAAGACATGTGAAATGAGTTTTTATTTTTTTTAAATGTCAGAACTCCGTCACTGAGCTAAACCCTCTTTTAAGGCTCTTACCTGCCTTCTAGTAATTTGATTAATTTCTCTTGTCATCGGTACAATCTATATTCTTGAAAGCATTTTGGCGTTTACTTTCTGTAAGAGCTATTCTCGGGAAAGCCCAGTGTTTGGGGATGGCCACACTGAAATTGGGATCTCTTCTGTGTCTCTCAGCAGGGACTGTGGCTTTGGCTCATGAAGGGGCCATTGCCAAGTGAGGTTGATTTCTGACCCTTCCACTTACACTGCAGTTAAATGGCATTTAGAATGGAAAAGGAATCTGGGTGCAGAGTTGGCAGTTTTCAAACCTCGGGCTTCAGAGAGAGGAAAATAATTGTCAGCCTACGCCACGCACTGGGAAATGCTAACTATGGAGATTGAGGGGTTCTGCCCTCAGACTGACTTTTTCCCTGTGTG